GCACCATATATACGGCGTGCTGGCTTCCTCGAGCTTGTCCGTGTTGTCAACTATGGTCTTTAGCCCCTTGACCCAGCACTACTTACTGCAGTTGTAGACAGGTGCGAGTGCCTTCTTTGTACGTAAACATTCTTATAACAAATTTGAGGCAACTAACAGTCATTCTATTCTTATAACAGATGGAGGCCTGAGACCCATACGTTCCACCTACTTTGCGGCGAGATGACCTTGACCATGCAGGACGTGAAGACTATCTTTGGCCTTCGGTTGGGGGGACTTCCAGTGACAGGGATAGTTGACAACGATCACTGGAGGGAGCTGGTGGCTCAGTTCACTAGCTTTCTTCCATCGGACGATGAGGCTTCCAAAAAAATAAGTGAGCAATTCAAGCCTATTTAATACTTGCATTGCTTTCCTACAGTCATCGGGTCTCATTTTCTTTGGTCAATTTCAGAAAAAGTTCTGGTGTTTCGTCGTCCTGGATCACAGAGCGCTTTGAATACTTAGACCCACAGGCTGAGGAGGCTCAGATCGACAAGTTCGCGAGAGTGTGGCTCTGGCACTTCCTTGGTGTTTTTCTCTTCCTAGATGCCTCGGGCAACACCATCAGCTAGATCTTTCTTGACATACTACGCCAGCTGTGGGAGAACATAGCGGCGTACAGCTGGGGCAGCGCAGTCCTAGCATGGACGTAATGACAGCTATGCGTTACCTGCCGTCGCACCTCAGGGTATGCGAACCTTGGAGTTGCTCCTACCTACTCCAGGTTTGGTGTTGGGAACGATGGTCCGTTGGGAGGCCCCTTAATACTAGTTTATCGGTAAGTACTTCGGTTAACTATATTCTTTGAGGTAGTTACATATGATGAAATTATTAATGGCTAATTTATTATCGTGTTCAATGCAGCAATAGAACAGGCAGGATACACTTCCTACAACTCTGTATATCTGGATGGAAGCAGAGTTAGTTAGAGGGAATGCGAGGCGTAAGTACAGGGAGTACACGGACGGTCTCGGCGTTCTAACACAACACCAGGTTACGCTCTCTTTACTATCATACATGTGTCTTGTTCGATGTACACTATATCACAACCTAACTCAATTATGAAATGTTCAGGTGCATTAGTGTCCTTGGGATGCTCCGGGGCTCGAGTACTATCTGAGTCCTATCACTAGGGACGAGTCAGACGAGTATCGCTGCAATGTCCCTCTTATTTTCTTACACATGGTCGAGATTCACTTGCCTATCAGGGTCTGCAGACAGTTTGGAAGAATGATAGATTGCCCACCACCACTTTACTCCACCAACCAAGGATTGCACGGGTACGTTATCGATTAATAACAAAGCTATAATTCATAGGTCTGTGTGGTACAACTAACATCGTTTTGTTGCAGGTATGACTGCAGGAAGAGGTACAAGACCAAGGATTGGCGCGTGACACACAACGCGCACATCCATTTGTGGGAGACCAGGGAATGGCAGCCGGTCCATGCAGGTCCTCTACACGACCAGCACATCTTCGACGAGTACCTGCGGTGGCTTCACAGGTCTACGAGAACACATATCAAGCCCCTGTACACTGAGGAGGCGATTGATGAGGACTTGGAGAAAGATGTGATCGAAGATGTGTACGACATTGGCACTAGGGAGGACACACAGCTACAGAGAGCCCCGCTTCAAATATACGTGGTAAGATACTTGAATGGTACAATTTGTTATCCTTTTGGTCTTAAGTATGTGTACTAAAACTGTCCAACCGTGTCTCTATACCTAGGCGACATAATTGTTAAGGATGTCCAATGAAGCAGCGTTTCGGCTTCATGAGTCTAGAGGGCAGGGGATAGGCGTTCTCGAGGCTTTTGTAGAGGTAAACATAAACTTGTCCGTTCTAAAAATATTTATTTATTGTATATGCGTTTGGGAAATGCAATAATTTTAACGTCTATTTATGCAGAAGGTGAAGAAGAGCTGCAGGAAGCTAGCTCAGAAGCTGAGCTGCATGGACACTCCTTATGTGGAACCGCCACTCCCGGCGCGGTCGGGTGGGACGTCTTCAGCCTCTTTGAGGACACCAGCCGACTCTTCTCAGCCGGTGACATGTGCCATTTCCGCAGTGCGTACACCACCACATCATAGCGCTGGGAAGGACCCTGCAACCGAGGACGACGAGGACGACGATGACGACGACGACAACCCCCCGGGCTTCCACAGACAGCACGGCCAGTGGGATGATTGGGCGCAGGACGAGATCGGCATGTCTCAGCTAGGTGGTGCCCCGCTTGGTACCTAAGGAGCCACACAGGTAGTAACAAAGGTAGTTTCTTTAAATACGTAAGCTCCATGAATTAACGATCATAAAGATTATAAGTAATCGTGCATATCATATACTTGTAGGGTACGAGCCGTACGCAACAACGACATGACCACACCGACGTTGGCTAATCTCCCAATGTGTTGCCAACAAATTCGAAGAGACAGAGGTGTCTGAGGGATCCTTACACTCCTGGGTCTTAGTTTGTTAGGTCGAACGAATATTGGCGTCCGAAACTTGCAGGCTTAGTTGGTTATGTTATGTCGAACTTATGTCAAACCAATGAAAATTTTATATGGCAGCTTGTCAACTTACGCACGGACTCCATTTATTTGCTTCATATTCGTTTCAATGCATCGCGGCAGCACTGCCGGTGAGATTAAGTAGCAACTAGTTCGGGAACCGACAGTCCCGGCATATCTCAACGTCAGTGGCCGGCGTCTTGACCCCGATCCTCCCGAGCTTGGTCATCGCCGCCACGAAATCATCGAAGAAGGCACCCTAGTTAGACGCGCAGTAGTCGACCGTGCTGCGCGACCCTATGTCGGACTAGAGCGCCTGGTCGGAGCCCACCAGGAAGGGGTCGACGAAGCCGAGGTCCATGGTCCATGATCGCGTCGCGGCCGATCCTCAACCAAAAGCAGCCGATCTTCTGTCTACGCCCAGGTTCTGCCGCGCCATGCGCCATGGCACGTCAGTGCCGCGCCAAGATCGGTGGCGCGGCACACCCTGCCACGTCACCCATCAGCGGCCCCGGTCTTCACCACGTCACCCTCCTGCCACGCCACCATGCATGGCGCGGCACAGGCATTTCGCTGCGTCATAACAATAGGCGCGGCCAAAAGTGTTAGTTTAAAAAAAAAACAGTGCTAAATTTAAAATTATTTTACAAAAAGTGATAAAATTTCAAAAAATCCCGACACAGTACTGTAGCAACAATATGCATCACTGTAGCGACGGTTTATTTTCTCTCTCCAACCTAAATTAAACTAGCAAATAGGAGAAACTAGTGAAGACGGGTTTAAAGGGCTTTCACTAGTTTCTGGTACATTAGTGCTACATTGCGCTACAATCACTGTTTGCCTAAATGTCCGTTTTATCTGTATAACAACGTTTAAATGGTAAACGAAGGTCACCCATGTCATTTAGGTCTTAAATGGTGAATTAAACTGTTAGACCGTTTAAAAACCGTCTAAACATAATGAAGTTAAACATAATTAAATGAGCAAAACAACCATTGAACTCACCATTTAATTGATAGGAGAATTACAGCTACCACATTTAGCACCCAACTGACTAACATGGTAAGTATATGAGGTGGAGTGGGATTCAGATTTCTTCCCAAAAAATTATTTGGTAGAATAATTATCTTTCTACATGTGTAAGCGTGCATATACTTTCTAGCATATTTGATTTTTAATACACAAATATGCATGTTTTAGTATTAGTATACAAAGCCGTTTAAACTGTTTAACTTCATTTAAACACCTGTCTATAAATAGCCTAAAACGCTAAACAAAAAATGACCGATTGTTAACCGTTCAGAATAAAGCCGAACTCCCAGCCAGTCCCACCAAAAGAGGCCTGGAACTGGAAGTGAATCATCAGCCTTGAAGGCTCCCAACCCGACTCAATCACCCACCTAAAAGCTTTGCCCCTCAAAGAAACGCCCCAGACGTGGGAAACACAAACAGCTGGATACCTGCGCAATGACAACGTTAGCAACTGGCAATGCCAAGAGATCCAAACGCATGCACCCCGCGCCCGCGTCACGGGCTCGTGGCCTCCCGGATCCGGCCATCCGGAATCCCGGGTTGCACTGCGTCACGCTGTGACCTGCTGTCTCGGCTGCTGCCCGATGGATCGGAGGCCTCTTCTGAGCGCGTTCCTTCTGAACCGGGTGCCTGCTGCCGATGGATGTTATGGCTGGCGTCTCCACCTCTGACTTCATTCGGTTCGGGACTTCGGGCGCCAGAAAAACTGAACTGGCGTTGCCTGCGCCAAGATGCAGCTCTTGGACGATAATCAGAGATCGATCCATTTGTTTATTTGTATGTATATATAATATCTTCTTCAGTTCAGCAAAGCAGGATCGGAGATATTGCTAGAGTTAGTATACTACGGGCACATCTATATCAATTTGCAGATACTACAGATTTTGTACGGATAGATTTCCTGCAATCGATCTTCATCCATTAGCGAGCTAGTGCCGGCCTGCGATCTCCATCCATTAGTGAGAGCTAGTGCTGCCTCTTTAGTCCTTACTCAACAATTGCCACATTATAAAATTCCCTCCACGGATTCGCCTCTTTTTTCTCCCCAAAAAAGAAGGGATAAAAATACATACCGTCAGGCTCAGGCACCTCTCTCCTTTGCTTGATTCGATTCCTGCACATCTCTCTCCTCAACACAACGGCGACCACTGTGAGCGGCGCCTGCCTTTTCTTCCCCTCTTTCTCATTTCCCTGCTCCTTTCTCGCCCCCTGCCTCTTATCTTATATCTTATATAAAGACCTGACCACACCCAGTTCTTCTCAGCCTCACTCCAAGACCGGCATGAACAATGCTGTTGCATTTATTTGGTCAGCTACTAGATAGATAGATCAAACAAAAACCCTCCTCTTCACTAGCAAATTAACGGGAGTGAGACCTTCAGCCTGTCTTTTCATCGAAGTGTTTGGTTGCTAGGATGGAGAAGAAGAGCTTGGAGGTTGGGGTCGTGGACGATGACCACGAGGTCTGGGTGCACGACTCCTCCGTTGATCACCGCGGGAGGTCTCCCTCCCGCACCACCACCGGATCGTGGAAGGCCGCAATGTTCATCATCTGTGAGTAGTTTAGTTATATTGAGCTGCACGCATCGATCAATTGTCGCGGGGTGTTCTTCCTAATTACATGGGGTTTCTTTCTTCTTTTTGCCATGTAGTGATTGAGTTCAGCGAGAGGCTGAGCTACTTCGGCATAGCCACGAGCCTGATGATATACCTCACCAAGGTGCTGCAGGAGGAGCTGAAGGTGGCGGCCAAGAATGCCAACTACTGGATGAGCGTCACCACGCTCATGCCCTTGCTCGGCGGCTTCCTCGCCGACGGCTACCTCGGCAGGTTCTCAACCGTCGTCTACTCCACCGCCGTCTACCTGCTGGTGAGCATCCCCCTCCTCGCACGCCATTCGCCATGACACAAACAACCGGCAGCAGCTGCGGCTTCACATTCCCCTCCTCTCTCTTCCTCGCATGCACGCAGGGTCTGACGGTGCTGGCGACGGCGCAGCTGGCTCCGGGGCTGAGGCCCGACCACTCGCCGCGCCTGCACGAGGCGCTCTTCTTCGCGGGCATCTACCTGGTGTCCGTGGGCACGGGCGGCCACAAGCCGGCCCTGGAGAGCTTCGGTGCGGACCAGTTCGACGAGGCCCACGCGGCGGAGCGGGTGCAGAAGATGTCCTTCTTCAACTGGTGGAACTGCGCGCTCTGCTCGGGCGTCCTGCTCGGCGTCACCGCCATCGTCTACGCGCAGGAGCGCGTCGGATGGGGCTCCGCCACCGTCGTTCTCGCCGCCGTCATGGCCGCCTCGCTCGCCGTCTTCCTCGCCGGCCGCCGGTCCTACCGATACAGGGTGCCCGAGGGCAGCCCGCTCACGCCGCTGCTCCAGGTCCTCGTCGCCGCCTTCCGGAAGAGGCGGCTCCCGCTGCCGGCCGACGCCGACGAGCCGTACGAGGTCAGGTCGCCGCAGAGTGGCAACAAAAGGCTGCTTTGCCACACCTACCAGCTGAGGTAACAACAACTCACTGACGTTGCTTTCCATTCCCCGATCGAACGGCCTTTATTTTACCTTTCACTATCGATCGGCGCGTAAACAAAAAGCGATCACGAAATGCAATGGCTCCCTAGAATTGACGCAACAGTCGCTAGTGCCTCGTGATCGCGATCCGAGTTCATCCATTTTTGCTGCTCCTGGGCGAGGGCGAGCAAATCTGGAAGAGATCTCCGAAAAGCAAAAGGAGCAGTCGAAGCATGAGCGGTGGACCGGTGGTTGAGCGTGACGTATGGTACGTGCTGCAGGTTCCTCGACAGGGCGGCTATAGTGGAGCCCGGCGCCGGCGAGGAGGCTTTCGGGCCGTGGCGGCTGGCGACGGTGACGCAGGTGGAGGAGACGAAGCTGGTACTGGCGATGGTGCCCATCTGGGTGTGCACGCTGCCGTTCGGCATGGCGGTGGCGCAGGTGTCCACGTTCTTCATCAAGCAGGGCAGCGTGATGGACCGTCGCCTGGGCCCGCACTTCGAGCTCCCGCCGGCGTCCATCTTTGCGCTGTCCGCGCTCGCCATGATCGCCACGGTGGCGGCCTACGACAAGGCGCTGGTGCCGTACCTGCGGCGCGCCACGGGAGGGGAGCGCGGGATCAGCATCCTGCGGCGCGTCGGCATCGGCATGGCGTTCGCCATCGCGGGGATGGGCGTGGCGGCCGCGGTGGAGCGGCGGCGCCTGCTGTCAGCGGCCTCGGCCGCCGCGCGGCCGCCGTCGGTGCTATGGCTGGTGCCGCAGTTCGCGCTGATGGGCGTGGCGGACGGGTTCGCGCTGGTGGGCCTGCAGGAGTACTTCTACGAGCAGGTCCCCGACGGCATGCGCAGCCTGGGCATTGGCCTCTACCTCAGCGTCATCGGCGCCGGGAGCTTCCTCAGCAGCCTGGTGATCACGGCGGCCGACCGCGCCAGCTCGCGCGGGGGGCGCGCCAGCTGGTTCGCCAAGGACCTCAACCACAGCAGGCTGGACCTCTTCTACTGGCTGCTGGCGTGCATCGGCGCCGTCAACCTGGCATTCTACGCGCTGGTCGCCACCAAGTGCTCGTACAAGCAGACCGTCAGGGCCGGCAGGGTCGGCGACGACAAGTCCGCCGCCGCCGGTGACGACGTCGAGTGCGCCGCCGGCTTCGTCGCCGCGTAGTTACGGTGTGGTCATGGAACCAAACCATGCATGCACATGCCACTAGTAGCTAGCTGCAGGATCATCGTGTTGATATTATTATTAGCGGCTAAGTAATTATATCTAGGTATAAGAAGTGTCGATCGTGTTGTTGCTCTAGTGCGTCACTGTGTCGTGTCACACAACTCGCAAGGATTGGTGTACGACTGGCTGGCGCGTCGTGGAATGTACGTGTACAAGTGCAAGCTGTCTGGTTCGTTTGTAGCAGCGATTTATCACATGCATGACTAAACTTTAGTTACTTTAGCTACTAAACTGCCAAATAAATTGACTAAAAAATACTAAAAGAGTTAGACCTCGTTTGGCACGGCTCCATTTCATCCATGAAGCCATTTTTTAGGCTTCAGCTTCATGAACAGCTCTATGGGTGGAGCTGTAGCCGTTTTGATAAATCGTTTGGCAAAACGGCTTCACATATAGTTTTTCTTAAAATATGTTCTCAGAGAACACCATATAGAATGAGGTGAAGCCGAGAGAAGCCACTATTTTTGGCTCATTCCCACCCCAAAGCTCTGTGAGAACACGTTTTTAGGGGCTTCATCGGTGAAGCCGTTTTATTTTACCCTGTTTGGCAGAAAACGGCTCCAAACGGCTCCTAAAGCCGCTAGAAAAGCCCTGCCAAACAGGGCCTTAGTCACCCAAAAATAGTTAAAAGTGGGCTAAAGTGTCCAGTAGACAACGGCCGCCCCTCATTATTGCTGGTCCCACACCCTGATTTGGGCATTTATTAGGAGTAGTTTGGTCTTTATTAAACTGTTTTAATGGCCTTTAGTCACTAGAACCAAACAGGAGTGACTAAATTTTAGTCATTGGTTTTAGTAGCTAATAATTTTAGTTATAGGAAACCAAACAGGATCTAAGTAACTACTCCTCCGTAAAGAAGAATGGCAAACGTACGTGCGCGTCGGCACTCATCTCCTACTCGGCGACAACTGTGGGGCACCGTAGGCTATGACGGCGCGCATTCCATTCCCGGATGGCACCGGCACCGGGAAAGAAAATTTGCCGCAGGTGGCGCCGCCGCAATGACGTGGCGGGCATCAGGTTCAGGACTTGGGCCTTGGGGCGAGAAACTGGCAATGGGCTAAGAAGAAAAGAAACCGGAGGAAAGAGTCCGCCAAGTTGTTGGGATGGAACGCTCCATTCATGGGACGAAACTAGTTTCTCAGTTGGACTCGCGCGCGAATCTGTTGAGATTTGCTGGGTTGAGTAAAACTAGCTAGAAACTCCAACTAGTTAATTGCAAGCGAGCTCAATTCTTACGTGAAAAAAATTATTCTGTTTATTTGCCCAAACAATGAGTCCCCTCTGCCTAGGGTGCAGGAGGGGGGCTCAAGCCCCCCTACCGCTGAACCCATGGAACCCCCCTCAGTCCCCTACCACCATCGATCCAGCTGTGGGGCGGACATGAGGCGTCGAGCAGCGCGCCCAAAACGCCGACGACCGGCGGAAGCGAGGCGTCTTCGAGCTCGTCCCTACCTCTTGAGCCTTTGCTCTTGCATGCATGTTAAGGGCGCAAGAGCCCGCCCATGCCATGCTTGTGAGGATTCCCTCGAATTCCTCTGCCCAGAGGCAGATCTAGCGGTGGGGCAGGGGGCTCGAGCCCCCCTACCACCAACGATCTCATGGAGCCCGTGTCACATCATGATGCGCTGCCTGCTGGTCCTGGGCCTCCTGGCTCCTGTGTCACCTCAGATCAAGCGCTCCTGGTGCGGCGGTGCTCCGCCATAGGCGGCTCCTATCGCAGAGGGAGTAGCGACCACGGTAGTGGTACGTCTCTGCTGTCATTGGGCGGAGGAACTGCAATGGTGATCACGACACTCCTGCACTGGGGCGACCGTGGGGTTTTGGCGGCTCCCTGCAATGGGTTCAAGACCGAAGATCTGAACTCTTGAAGGAGGGGTTGAACTCTCGTCTGAAGCTAGAAGATGACTCCCTGGCCGCGACTTGGGCTATGGGCTTGCTTCTTCCTAGACTATTGGATTTGTTATAGCCCAACAAGGTCCATGCATTTTGGGCTTGAGGAATCTTTTCGTGAGCCTAGTCATCCTGTGTTCGTAGCCCTAGCGCTAGCGGAGACGACGATCGACGGCTGCACGGATTTAGTGACCTGCGGTCGCGGGTGAACGAGGCGTAGGGCAAGGCGGATCCAGATGCAAACGCAGCTCATGGAGGCGAGAGGTGCGGGCGGTGACGCGCGGTGCCATGGCGTCCACCGTTAGTGCCATGCCATGCCCGCCACAGATGTGTAGGTGCGGAGGTTCCAGGAGGCCAGCGGCCTAGTCCGGGCGGCCGGCCAACCATTAGTCCGTTCGTCGATACTATAATACTAAGGGCCTGTTTCTCAAAATTAGCCCATATTATCTCTAGTGTATCCAAATAAGAGGGCTAATAGAGGGGCTAATTTTTTAAACAAGTCTTCAAGTAGTTTTTAACCAACTAGCTAGCCAACCTTGACGAATTTTGAGCTAATTTTTAGCAACTAGTAACTAGCCCTAGCTCATCAAAGGAGTCCTAAGTTACTAATTTTTGTTTTTTTTCTCTGATTTGTGCTTGTCTTGTTGGCTGTATTTGTGCAGCATCTGGCTCACTGGGAACGGCAAACATCAGTAACCACGGCACCGCATCAACCAGACCAATCAAGGCCCGAAGGCTAAGCAAAATAGCAAATGCTAGAGAAATTGCCCAGGTATATAAAATATTCAGGGCCGTTCTCTTGTATAGTAATTACTAATTAGCTTTTAATTGCACATTTTAATTCTCTGGCATTTTATTAAGGCCATATGCAATGGTGACAAAAGCTGCGTGGCAATTCTGTTGTAATTACTAATTAGCTTCTGGTAATTGCTTTGAGCGAAATTTAGTCGACATTAGCTGAGCATCACATTTTCAATTGAGATTGTCATTTGTGATGAACTAAAAATGTGAGAAACTGGAAAGAAAATAACATTTTCCTCTCCACGAATCATTACTTGTTTTCGTATAAAATCGCTATAAACTACTACATCTTTAGATAAAATGCTAATCTTACACTTTTTTAAGCCTCCTATATATTTTTTTCTGGATCCGTCGCTGGCTCTGCGGAAAGAAAACTCCAACGTGGTCCGGACAAAGTACGAAACCAGAACTAGCTAAACACTTCTGCGTGCCTATGTCTGAGAAAACACGAATACGGTTTCATAATACGGCTACCTAGTCGCGTCGATCCTGTTGTTGCTCTAAGTAGGGTACATGCATGCCGTGTCACGACTCACAGGGATTGGTGTACGTAAGTGTACAAGTGCTGTTTGTTTCCTTGTAGCAGCAACTTACTCCTACGATTTTATCACATGCATGAGCTTATAAGTCAGAATATGAACAAAACAGGGAGGACAAAGAAAAAAAGAAAAGCTCGGCAATTATCAGAAAGATGGAAGCCTCCTGAACAAGGATGGGTGAAAGTTAACGTCGATGGATTTTTTGACCAAGAAATTGGACGTGCGGGCATTGGTATTGTGACAAGGGACAGTGCAGGTATGGCTATTTTTTGTGCTTCGAAGGCCATCTTTGATGGGATGAATGCAGAGAAGATCGAAGGCTTAGCTTGCTTAGAAGGGGTGCGACTAGCTTTGGAATAGTCACGGAGTAAAACCATTATTGAGTCTGACTGCTTATCCGTTGTTCTAGCTGCTTGCCGTGTAGGTGTGGATAAATCGCAACTCGATTTTATTGTAAATGGTATAAAACATGTCTAGAATGCTATCAGAGGTGAGTTTCCAATATGCGAGGAGAGAGCAAAATGAAGTCGCTGATGAACTCGCGCAGTTGGTGAAACGCACGTCACACTCAATAGTGTGGCATGCGCAGGTTCCCCAATGTGTGGAGTCATTGATTGCAAAAGAATGTAATTTGTTTCGTGAGTAATCAATAGAGCTTTCTCCTTTTTCGCCAAAAAAAAAGTAATTAATTCGTAAATGGCAAACGTGCACGTCGGCGCGCGAATCTGGTGAGCCTTGCTGGGCTGGGTAAAACTAGCTAACGGCACGGGAGCTCGCTTCTTCCGTGAAAGAAAGTTGATCCTGTTTTGTTTTCGGCCCAAACTACGAATCCATGGGCCTTTCTTTCCCCTGTGCGCTCGAGGCCAAGCAGTGCGTGCGTTTGCGCGTGCTCATACGCCGACACGGCGATACCGACAAGGAGCTGGACGGAGATCTCCTAAAAGTATTTCTTTTTTCGGAAAAAAAATGAAAGAGTTGGACGGAGAGGTGGTAAATTATATATGACTTTGATCTTGACGAAAATAGGAAATCGAGTACAAGTCACACCACTCCCCTCGTAGAAGTGGATGGGGAGCCCAGCCAGAACAACTGAAGAAGACCACTGAGCACTGACATGCACCAACAGGCCAAGTAATAAGGTTCTTTTTCGTTTTGAAAGATTCTTATCAGATTCGTAGACGCACGGAAAAACGTAAGGCCCTGTTTCCCCGCTAATAGGCTGGATGATAGGTATGACACATGAACTAACTTTTCCGTTTCAAATTTGCTACATACTCATTCCGTTTCAAATTATAAGTTATTTTAATTTTCTTAGAGAATTATAAGTGAATTTGCATGTCAAGTTTAACTAAAATTATATAGAAAATTACAATGACTTAGGACATATATAAATAGATGTACTATAAAAATATAATTAATAAAAAATCTAGTGATACTTATTTTGTATCATAAATATTATTGTTTTATTATATAAATGTTATCAAACTTGAGATGCTTTTATTTTCTAGAAAATAAGAATGACTTATAATTTAGGATGGATGTGATATATAAATCATAACGGCTTATAGTTTAGAACTGAATAAAATATATATTAGTTAGCGATCTATCTCATCTAAGTTTTAGCAGCATTTTTTTTAACTCCGCTGAATCTATACGTTCCCGCGTAACCACGACTGGTTTAAATTTAACAAATTGATTGAGCTG